AATGTTGTCACTTGGGGAAATGCTTCTGAATGAGGCACATGTATAATATCCTTAAGTAGCTGCCAGAGTCCACTACTATGAGTTGCTGAGAATGTAATCAAACTTCACAATCTCATATTAATTTCCCAGCACCCCAAATTGTTTTGTTCAAAGCAATCACACACCTCTTCAATGTGATAGAGACTGAGTCACATCTAATCCCTGTTTTATCCAGAGGTCTGCCAAAGACTGCAGGCGCCGCAAAACCAGTGATCAGCCTTCCAACCACAGCCAGAACACAGAGAGCAGCTGTTCAACGCCAGAGTCAGTGCAGGAGCTCTCAGATGATGATGGCAAGTATCTGGGTGTCACTGGGTCAGGCTTTAATGTTCTTGCCTTGGTACTTTAATTCTTGAGCCAGCCCTGGGACCTTTCCCAGCCCAGTTAATACCATGGGCCAACAGCCCACAGGCAGCACAAGGAATGTTCTGCTTTTCTGTTCTCTGTATGTGCTGTTTCTGCCTTACAATGAGGACTTCCCAACTCCTGGAAAAATTGGAAAAATACAGTGACATTCCAATCAACACATAGGAAACAGGCTATGTTTCTGTCTCTTTTCTCTGCCTTTGTTAGAGGTGACCTTGAATGTTTGAGGGAGTGAGCAGGTGTGAGCACTCCTTTCTCCTCCCCTCAGCTGAGGAGCATTGTTTCCTTAAAGCTGACTGAGAAGCACCCTGACCCCAGAGTCACAGGAGTGACCTGGATCTTACAGTGGCCTGGATCTTCTGGCTGGAAGATTCTGTTCCCTGTCTCCTCCCCATGTTTCCTCCTGAAAGTGTCCCCCCTAGCAGTGACAATTAGTTCACAGCCACCCACTTGCTGTGTTGTGTTTCACTACCACCAGAATGGTGATGCAAAACATAATTGTCCTTCAATACTTTGCCACAGGGTTTGAAAGCCTGTGCGCTCAGTGTGGGAAAGAAATGAACCACCTGAAGGAAATTCACTCAGCTGTCTTATCTCTACAGAAAGCCCAACAGGACATACACAGGTAACCATTTTCTGTCATCAAACAATGATTTTAATGGGCTTAAAATAACTGTGTGGCATTTAACTCCTTACTGTGGTCTTTAGAGTGTCTCTGTGAGCTGCAGGAGTGCAGTTCAAGTTGTTATAGATAAAGTAACCACTTATCATACCAGAAAGACAAACCCAGACTCTGCTTGAAACAGTTAACTTCCTCTTAACAGTTCCTGTCTGAGCAATTAGCATCACCTCAGGATGGTATTCAACTCAAGGTACTCCTGACTGAGAAGGGCTGGGCCACGCCCTGGCTAAAAATAAATCTCACCCAGGCAAGAATATGTGGCCTTCTGATCCAGCATGTTAGGAACTTCCTCAGTTTGCAGGGTGTTTGTTCTGAAAAACTGGGCTCCATGGAGAAAAGCACTAAACTCCAGTTTTTTGTAAAAATTGCTGGTTGCCATCTGAGGGATACAGTAACCACATCTGCTGCTGACAGAGGGCTTTGCCCTGCAGACTCCTGTGGGGAGGAATTAACTGCTAGTTCAGCTCCAGGGAGCCCTGCTGATTCCCCTCTGCATGAGGAGTATTATCCAGCCAGGAGTATTATCCAGCCAGGAGTATTATCCACAGAAGCCAAGGCTTCTGTGGGGTGGGATCACACATGATGCCTACCATTTCTGGATGCCAGAGTCATTGGTGATATGGTTTTAGCTTCACTCCTGCTCCAGGGCAGGTTTGGGAAGGCTAGGGCACAGGTTAAACTCACAGGGCTATGAGTGAGTGCTGGATGAAGAGATTTCTTGGGGTTTGTGCCCTTCCCATGCCAACCAGCTGCAGCCAGAAGCACTAATCTTCCTGTTAAAAAGGGAGGCAAAGTCTGGGGGGGCACACTGCTCTGCCTCTGAGGGTGTCATCAAAGTGCAGGGTTCCCTCGTGGTGTGGGAGCTCTGGGTATGCACACGTGTGAAGGCACACTTCTCTCCAACACACAAATAATCATGTTGCTTTCTTTTGCAGAAATCTCAGCGCTCTGAACAAAAAGTCCTTCCACAGGAAGGCCTCTTCTGAAAGCTTCCTCCTGGACTCTCGCTGTTGGTTTCTCCTCTGCATCTTTCTTACATGTCAACTCTTCATTAATTATGTCTTCAAATAAAATCACTACATTTGGCAGCAATAATGATCACTGGCTGCAGGAGGGGGCCACTCGCGCAAGGAGCCCAGCGAGGCACCAAAGCACTTTAGAACCAACACGGCAGAGGTGGAAGGAAGTGGAAGAACGAGGTTAAAAAGGGACCTAGGAACCTGCAAAACTTTGTTCCTGCAGATTATGTCATTTTTTGCCTTTTACATGTACATCTTCAAGGACCTCTTAACCTGTATGGGCCTTAATGCTGAAGCCAAATGTAGCTTTAATTGTGCAATTTGTTTTCTATGTTTTGTCATTTTCTGATGCAATTAATAATTACCCAGCAGTATTGGTAACCCCAAAATGGTAATCACCTCAACATTTTGGAAAAGTCATGGTGGCCTGGGTCATAGCTCCAGGAGTGAGGAAGAGCAGTTGGGGAGCTGTAAAGAACTGTTATCCATGGTGCCTGTCCGGCTGCCTTTAATTACAGGAGGGAGTTGATGTTGGTCCAAAAAATCCAGGATACCTGGGGTATTAAGTCATGATCTGTTTAGTCAGCCCATGCAGAATGGAACCTCAGGATGTGTTTTATTTTCCATTCCACAGAAACTGTAAATACACACAATTTCCTAGAGCCATTCTGCTTTAGGAAATGGGAAGTATCCAGTGAAAGCTCCTTGTCTGGTTACGGAGCTGACTGGTGTCCTGGGCCTGGCCCTTCGAGGGTGATGTCAGACACGCACGCCTGTTTGTAAAACCTGGTCACTTACTATTATTGTTATTATTTGCTATACGGCTGTTTTATAATATCACACACTAGCATTGTAGAGAGAAATCCACTGCCCCAGCATAGGTGAGGAGGATGGGAGCGATGTAGGTGTACGTGTGTTCGGTCTTAGGCACATTTATTGTCAAAGGTCAGGAAAGAGGGAGGGTTTTGCCACTGCATTGTTCAACCCTGTTAATAGTCTTCCTATTTTACACCATTTTTTAAAGATTTGCAATATTTTCTGTAGACTGCAGACAATACTAAGCCTTTCTTTTCTGGCCTGAAGTAGTTCCAAGTGGTAAGTACTGCTATATATACAGCCTTAAAATACTTAGTGGTGGTGCCAGTCTGGGCTATCTTTCAATGTAAATGTTTCCAAATTTTTAAGTACATTCCTCGTCATATTCCCCAGTTAGGGGAAACCTGTTTGTGCTTGATATGTTGAAATAAAACTACACACAACTTTCAGTGGCAGTCTATCTGACAAATTATTTTTGGGTTTGTGTTTGATAGTATTTTAAAAGTAAATCACTTCCTAGAGGAAAATCTACAGGAAATTGTCTCCAAGAATGTCAGACCTGGGCCATAAGTTAGAATGGCAATAGCAGTTTGATACCACTCTGGCTGAAATTGTCAGAAATTGTCAGAAATTGTCTTCTTGTGGCAACTTCCACAGAAAGAGAAGTGGTTCCCTTGATCTTCACTTTTGTACATGCAAATGCACAAACTTATCTTGGACTTAGGAAATGTTTATATCAAGGACTTGAGGATAGTGAAAAGATTGTTCCACAGAGAGAGCTGCAGCTCTCTGATAGGAACAGGCAGGGTAAGAGCCAGCATCTGGAAGCTGACATTCAGGAAACTGATCACAAATGTTAAAGGGTGAGAGTGGCTTTGTTATTAGCAAAAGTCTCCAGAAAACCAAAGCATTCTTCATCCTTGAGGAAACAACCTTGGAGAATATCTACATCATTGACACAGATTGGGTGCCTTTTTGAAGGATGTCATCCTAGTCACTCTTTCTGAGGAAGTCTGACCCATGCCACCTGTGGTGTAAAACTCAGTGAGAGAGTGTTGCCTCTGCTTTCCAGGCTGTGCAAAGTTCCCTATGCAGCTTCAAAGTGTTTGCTCCTGTTTGTATCCAAGTGTTTGGATGTAAAGCTGTGCAAAACACATGCACTAATCTCCTTTGAATGCTTCAGCAAGTCAGCACATCTCTGGCCTATCAGCACAGCCTCCTCATCACTCTCATCCTGGTTTTGGAACATGTGTTTTGAGTTATGGATAGGAGCCTCTCCACATCAGTAGGGCTGTTTGCATCCCTTGGGTACAACTGTATCCCAGCTTTGGGAAATGGTTACCAAACAACAACAGAAAAAACCCAAACAGCCCAAGCCCCCCCTGAACCAAAGAGAAGCAGTGCTGAGCAGGAAGCCTTCAGTGGGTGTAAATGTGAATGCAGGAAATTGTTAGAATTATTTCCATTTTACCGAACTATGCACCCGCAAGGATTGCACTAGGACTTGTAACTGCAGTTGAGTAAAATAAACATTGTTACCACAAGAGTAGCAGTTCAGTGAAAGAAACTATCAACAAGTTATTTCAGCATCAGCAGAGGAAGAGTTTCCAACATTGACGGCTGCTGCCGCAGAGGATTAGAAAATAATCCAGAAAGGAATAGCCTATGAATCCTTGTGCCATTAATTTTAATCCAGTTTCAACAATCTGGAGGTGAGTGTTCCTACATGCACATGGGAAATGAAAAGTATTCTTGAGGAAAAGCACGGCCAGAAACGTTATTTCTCTGGGAGGAACGACTACTGACTAGAAACGTAAGAACCCTTTAAGAACTTTAGGAAACAGTTATATGCACTTCGTTTGCGCAGTGTTGGGAAATTTCTCCTCACAGCCTTTCCTGCTGCTTTTTGTGATCAGGGTGGTCAGCCCTTCAGCACCTGCGGCAATTAACTGCGGTTTCTGCCGCCAGGTAGAGGCGGGGCACAGGCGGGGCGCGCTCGGCGCTCCCTCCCCGTCCCCCTAACGCCGGGAATAAGAGCGGCGGCGGCGCAGGACGGGCCCAGAGCGATGGGCGTCGTCATGGGAGCCGGACGAACGGCGGGGCTGCTGCTGCTGCTGGTAAGTGCCGTGGGAGCTGGGGCTCTGTCCTACTGCTGCTGCTGGTAAGTGCCGTGGGAGCTGGGGCTCTGTCCTACTACTGCTGCTGCTGGTAAGTGCCGTGGGAGCTGGGGCTCTGTTCTACTGCTGGTGGTGAGTCCCGGCTGGGCTTCTCTGTCCCGCACCTGCCCGCCGCGAGTGGCGGCTGCCAGCCGGCCGCAGCCGGAACGCAAATCCTGGCTTTTGAGGCGGAAAAAGTCTTCCTCCAGGTCTAGTGTGAAGGAGCCTTGTGGGTTTTTCTGTCTTTTTCTTCTTCAAGAGACTTTGGTAACTTTCTCGAACTTTTTGATGGTGTTTGATGTCTAGGGAAAGCTGCGGCAGCGCCGCTGCCGTGAACCCAGCGCCCTCAGGGAATGTAGCGCGTCTCTAATCTGTTACTACCGCACTCGCTGCCGCCCTTCCTTCTCTCCTCGAAGAAAAAAAAAAGTTACAAGTCAGGAGTGAGTTCTTTAATACTCCTCGGGTTATTTAAGTGTGAAACTGGAAGTTTTCTCACCTCCCCACAGTTAGGGGGAAGATTTTCAGTCTACCGAGGAGAGAGTTTAAAGAGCGAGACCCTCTTGGTTTTGGCTTAGACGTTGCCCGCTGATGGCAATGAGTGCTGGGGAGCTGGAAGCGCTTGGACACACCGGGACTGAGAGGCTGCGGGGAGCCCTGCCCAGTAGTGCGCGGTCTGCGCTTTTTTTTTCTCTTAAAAAAAAAAAAAAATTCTCGTTGCTCCTGTAGTATTTGCTAATGACTCATCTTGTCTTCTGCCTAAGACTCGAGCCAGTGAGAGGTGTTGGAGGAGTCTGTGGGGCGTTTCCTCAATTTTGCGGGAGCGAGACTAGCACTGATTCTGATGAATTAAAAGGATGAGGCAAGGGAGAAACTAATCCCTTGCACACCGCAAAAACTTTGGCGTCTGCAGCTTAACTGCAGTGAGGTAGTGGAAAGAAAACAAAAGTTTATATGGAGGCAGGAGCGTGTGGCAACAGTTGCCTAAAGCCCCATCAGCTGCTGCACGGTGCTGCCTTAACCCCAGCTTTGTGATGGCAATTACTGCTGTGAGCAGCACTTAGCAGAAATTAGTTTGGGTTTCCTCTGTGGCTTCCCATAAATTTCTGAATGTGTTTCCACGTCTTTACAAGTTAATCTCCCCGAGATAGTTATCGTGTCCAGGGAGGATGACTCACTCAGGAGTCTCCTGTTTGCCTCCGCTGTAGGTTGTGCTACTGACGATGCCTAGAGCCCGAGCAAACTGTGGGGAGAGAGAGTACTTCCATCAAGGTCTCTGCTGTGTGTTTTGTGAAGCAGGTAAGGCTTTGAGTAGTTACAGCTGATAGCAATTGCTTCCTACATTGCATGCTGGGAAAGTGTAAGCCTGGTTGGAGCCGTGAGGACTTTTTGGTGCTGTAAAGGCTGGGCTCCATTTTGAAGTGAGAGCCCCTTATTGCATCAGGTGGTGACTGGGAGAGGTGCTTTGGCATCAAGCCAGGAAGGCTTTGCTTGTGGATGAGGATAAAGTTTTTGAAGTTAAGCGACTTAGTTAACACAAAGAACAGGCCTAGAGGAATTCTGATTTTTCTGTGTCTATAGGCAAAGCTTCAGTATGGTTTTGCTCTCCTCTCCTTGCTCGATGTGTGCAGAGCTAACAAGTTTTGCACCAAGAAGAAACCTCTCGTTATTATCAGAAGCTTACTGGTGCATTTACATGGGATTCACACAAAGGAGAAAAAAATGTTTATTGAAAGCCATTCTCCCTGGCCTTGCCCCTTTCCTTCAGCAATGGTACCATCCACAGGCTCCCTGCCTGCTGCAGTGACTCATCCTTCCAGCAGATGCCTTGCTGGACACCTCGTTTTGCACCTCTTCCTGTCTGAGTGGGAAATTGCAAATGTGCCTCCTGACTCTCCTGTGTCTATTGGTTTGTGTGGCATGTGATTGATTTGCAAGGAAGAGTTGAACTTTTCTCAGAAATTTGTGTTGTAATGTCTAGATTTAGCCCTTTGTCTGTCAAAAGATCCCAAGATTGCTGCTGCCTGTTCTCTTCTTCTACAGGTACCTTTGTTGCTGACCACTGCAATGCTTCGCATTTGAAAGGAAAATGTGACCCTTGCAAGCAAGGAAAAGGCTTTACTGCCCATGCCAATGGCTTGGAGGAATGCTTGCCTTGCAGACAGTGCAAAGAGGGTACCGAACCTTAGCATATTGAACTTAAAAGTAAATCACCTTTATGGCCCGAGTATAATCTTTGCACTTGCTAACTTATATTTTATTTTTAGATCAGATAACTCTGAGACCCTGTACTCTGACACAGAATGCTGAATGCCAGTGCAAACAAGGGTATTTCTGTGATGATGAGGGCTGTGAAATGTGTTGGAGAATCAGTCAAGAGTAAGTTTGAGAAAAAGTTGCTATTTTCCTTCTAGGGGATGTTAGAGCTGTGGCCCAATCTGTGGCAATAGTTAACATGTGTTATCAGGCTGTAAATAATTGCCCTGAAGCCAAATAACATTATTCATGCATTTAAATTTTAGGTGTCAAAACAAACCTGTGATGTTGAGACCTAGAAAGATGTGGACTTGGGTATATGTGGACTTGCATTTTTCATTTTTCATGTCTTCAGGTTGATATTTCCACAGAAACATACTTGAATGAACTTTCTAGCACCCAGCTTAAAATTTTAGTATGTAGAACTACCTGTTGAAGGAAGCTAACCATAGCTAACCATGCACGAATAATGGCTATACTCTGTGGTTTGTGTTTTTTTTTTTTTCTTTTCCCCTTCCATTTAGACACTAACATACATGAATTTTATCTGCTTTGCTTTTATTTTATCTTGTAGTCTTGTCTTGGATTGTTTAAAGGTACACCTCTATCAAAGTTTATGCATGTTCCATTCATGGTTCTGAGCTCTGTCTGAAAAAGAATTGGGCCTGGACAGAGCTATGTACTGATCTGGAAATGTTGATACAATGTTCTGTTACCTTCCACTTCAGGCATCCAGACGGGAAAGAAATCCTGCTGAATTCCACTGATACCACAGAACTAGGCTTAACTAATCAAGGTCTGTTACACAAATCCCACTCAGCTTGGTTTGTTGGGTCTGTGGCTTCAGGCTAATAACACCAGAGTAGTCTGTAAAACAGTGGTTTCAACTACTGTAATGTACTTAAGAGCAGTTGCATTTTAGTCTGGGAGTTATTTGCTAAAGACAAGTTATCAAAGGGGTTGATGGGACAAACCACCTTGAGTTTCACTTGGCAACATGTGTTGCCAGGGTTCTTCAAGTTGTAAGGGTGACCCAGTTGAAAGTTCTGGAGAGTGTGAAGAAGTTTACTGTGCCTGGAGCAGCTTCCTCTTCTGCCAGGAATGCACACTGTCCATGCTACAGCACCCAAAGCTACCTATCATCTTTTGCATACTTGTTTCCCCTTAAGTGTCTCTCCATAAAACCTTGTGGAAGTTGTCTTGCAGCTCTCTGCAGAGTTCCCTGATGCCTTTGGGAGCACGACGTGCAGTGCGAACAAGTGCTCACATGTTCAGGGCAAGGTGTCCATGAGAGTCCCAGGACAAACTATCTGGGTTATTGTATTAGCTCTGGGCTTAGGTTTTTCCCTAGGACAGCAAGGAATATCTTTTTGGGGGACAGTTTCAGTGATTTTTTTTTTTTCTCTTTGCAGGGAAGGAAGCTCGTGTTTGGGTTATTCCAGTGCTGCTGATGGCTGGTTTGGGTTTGCTCATAGTAGTTGTTGTTGTTCTTGTTAGAAAGCTGAAGTGTGATAAAGGTAACTGCTTGATTATTATCCATGAAATTTGCTTTCCAGAGTTAGGCAAAGCATGCACTAGGGCTGTCCCTGGTTCTTGTGTTGCCTTACAGGGGACCTGTTTAAGCTCTAGTTCATTTTGCATGTGATTGAAATTAGCAAATGAGTAAAGTGAAGAGTAGTTTTGCTTGGTAAATAAAATGCATAGTCCGTAACTATGGGCTTTCTTATCTTGCTGATAGATGCCTCTGATTCAAAGCAAGATTATCATAAGGTCCTTAGAAAGGACTTCTCCAATCAACTTGCCTTGTATTGGCAAAGAGGAAAAACCTGTGTGGGGGTTCAGATGCATTGGGCAAAAGTAGCAACTAAGTAGATCACTAATTACCTTCACTGTTTGGTTCTGGAGAGTTTTTTGGTACAAATTGGTTCCCTTTAGTCATTTGAATCTCTTAATGTGAATGTTAGGTTGATTAAGTCCTCTGTGAGTTTATTTTTTAGTGGAAACTGAGCTGTTTTCCTTGGAAACTTCTATTTCCACTATTGTTTAAGTATTTTTGCTACTAGTGTGGTTAAAATAATACTGAAAGCTATTATGAATCTTAAGTGCTAAGTTGGTTGAAATCATGTCTTACTGATTGTATTGCAGTAAAAACAATTTCTGCCTTCTGTATTGTGATAGCCTACGAAAATTCTGAGAAACAAAAGCTGGAGTAGAGGAGGTTGCAAGAGTGGCTTAAAAGTCAAACAGCATCTTGTCTGCATTTTGCTAAGCAGGATTAAGGCACAGTGTGCTGTTGCTAAGGGTTGTACTGGGGTGAAATGTATGACAGGTCCAAGGAACTAAATGGCTTTTAAAAGCTTTAGCTGTGTTACAAAAGTTTCTATTGTGTATAAGTCTTGTGTGATTTCAGCCATGTTTAAGTTGCTCAGGCACTTTTTTCTTTTTCAGCTGCCTCAGCTGTTAAAGATGTAGAGGGACATCTGGTAAGTATGTGATGGACCAAGTGTTTAATCTCTAATTGCTCACAGCCTAATTGTACCTGACACACAGCCCTTAATGTTTGTCTCACTGTAGATCTCTGCTAGGATGTGTTCCTGTGATGCAACAAGTTGTGATTCATGCAAGGTCAGAAATTAATTAGCCAGTGTCTGATGCATTCAATAGCTGCTGGTGTCTCCTTGTCAATACTGGAAAATGCTTCAGAGCCTGTGACCAGGATGCTTTGGAAGTGGGGAAAAAACTTGGACTAGCTGCAAGTTTTCACTTCAGACTGTCTCCAAGTGATACCTTGACCCAATTAATTTATTTTTGCTGCTTCCCATGTATATTTCCCAGCTGATGGCAGCTATTGTTTGGTGTTGCAGCATGGTGATGTTCCAGCTCTCATTGCGTTGTGACTACAAATTATCAGTTCATAAGACTTAACCCATCCTGATCCAGTAAAGTGATTGAGTCTTCCTGCCTCTGGGCTCATGTCACAAGCTACAGACCAGGACCTGACAGTCTGAATTCTTGGTCCTAAGCAGTCCCAAAAGAGGTGGAGTTCAGGGCTCAGAGCATGCCAGTCCCAAAGTGCATCCCTAAAAAGGGTTTATCCAGCTGAGGCTGGCTGCTGGCATATGTTCCAGCTTGAAGCTGGGTATACCCTGGCATACTGTAGCCAAATGCCATTTCAGAACCTTACTGTTTGAGTCTAAAAAACTGCAAGACAAATACAAGGCTGGATGAAGTAAATACAAGTTGGCTTTACCTTCTCTGGTTAGAAGTTACATCACTACCAGCACCACAAGGCAAAAATGAGCTCAGTCTTAGTTTTACACAACAAATGTTAGTCTTGATGAGCAACTAGGAAAAATATCCAGACTGTTCTCAGTGTGTGTACAGCACTTTTTTTCTCCCTGGAGCTTCTCTTGTGAGGGCACCAATGCGTTACCCGCCCAGTGTATCACTCTTGTCTAATGTTACTAATTAGATATTTTGAGAAATGCATTTTAATTATGCCAAAAATATTTGAAGACCGAAGAAAAAGAATTGAAAGAGATGTTCAAAGGCTCGCGCTAAACTCTGCTCTTTTTCTTTTTTAAGGTCCATAAGTGGCTCAAATATGTGAAACACCCCAGGTTTTTTGTTGGGTTGTATCTCCCCTCACGCCCTGGCCAGATTTGCAGCACTTCATCTATTTATAGAAGCTGATGAAGAAACATGACAAAAAACCTGGTCAAAAAATGCTGTAGCATAGGAATAGCAAATATAACATGTCTTTAATTTCAATAAAATAGTTGCAGAATGATGCGGTTATGAATTGGTGCATGGTGCCACTTGTCTCTCATCTAAGAGCTGTCACAGGCAGGTGCAAAGTCTGCACTTGGAGTGCTGGTGCTGCTGTAAGAGTTTATTTGCTAAGGAGAGTTCCACTGATGCAGTCCTGAGACTGAGTATTTTGGCACCTACACACCTTCCCTTCATACTGCTCTAATGCCCCCAACAACTGCTGATACTTGAATAGCTGATGCTGGGTTTTGAAACAAAAGCGTCAGTCATGACAGTGCTCTTTCAGTCTTTTTTTTTTTCCTGTTTAAGAATCATCCTGTATAAATTAGATCAATTTCTTAATGTGCTTATACCCTTAAATAGAAAGTGTTTCAGTGAGAATGATGCACAGCTACCTGTGGCATATGTAGGGGGCTTCCTCCTCACATCCCCATTTATGCATGTTGGTCAGGGGGTGGTGTCACCTATGGGTTGCTGTGCAAACGAAAAGCATGCTGGCTTATGCTTACAAAGGGCTTGTACCTTAATAAACACAAGTCTCAGGGGCAGAATGGTGACTCCTCATCCTCATTTTCCACATATAAATAAATACTCCTAAAGCTTACCACCTTTAGCACTATGTGTCATGTGAGACATGCTACTCTGCTTTGTGCTTGAACTGTTCATGCTGACCTGGTGCTGTACTCCCTGGCTATGCCTGTCTAATGAATTGACAAGGCCAGAGATGATGGGAGCCTTTCCTGCTGGCTTCCCTCCTCTCCTCACAAAAACTATGCAATGTACATAGGTGCTCACTGGCTTCTTTCAACTGACTATAGTTTGTGAACCCAGCAGGAAAGCTAATCCAGCCACAGACAGCCCAAGGTAGTGCACTGCCATGGAGCTGACAGGCTACTTGGCAATAATTCTGAGCATCAGCCTTGACACAGCAGTGGGGGCACAGCTTGGGGCCCCTGGTGCTGTTGAGTCATCTCGGGTGCAGCAAGGCAGTTTAATTCCCTCTTCTCTTAGGCAGGGTATCTACCTACCGTACCTAGAGAGGAGCAAGCAGCAATCTACATCAGTAAGAACATCAGGAAACACTTCCTGTGGTTGTTGTGGAGGCAACTTCTGTGCCTTACCCTGCAGTCTGGTGGGTGCAGAACAGCCAGGGAGGTGGAGAGTCAGGCTCTGAAACCATTTTGTCACAATCTGCTAGTACAAGTGGGGGTTGTGATGGTTTGTTTTACTAATCTCAGACTGCAAAAGACACACAGCGGAGGACTCTCAGTAGTAATCAAAATAAATGCACCTTTTATTGAGTGCCCTCAGCAAATGTGATAGAAGGATTAGAAAGTTTAGATAAAGGAGAGAGAGAGAGAGAGAGGGAAAAAGAAGGGGTGGGGACTAACTACCAACAGAGACAAAATCCTCATGGTCCAGCCAATAGATCCATCTTGTCATGTTGGGGAGAATCTCAAAGTCTTTGGTTAACTCAGGGGTCTTTTATAGTCTTATGTCAAGGGAACAGGTACAGGACAGTGGAGAATAAGCCTGTTGAGAACAAGTACAGACAGTCCAGTTCTGAATGGGACAATTCAGTCCCAGCAGTGAGCAGGACCTGTTGTTTCAGGACTGGGTCCCATGAGAAACCAGTCTTGGTCCAGCAAACACACCTGCAGGCAACACATGGCAGACATCCTGTTTCAGTCAGGCCAGTGCCCCTGTGTTAGAATTTTAAGGGTCTCAGTCCTTGGGGGGGGGCTTCAATCTCCATCCTTGACACTGGGCATGTGGCATATGAGGCATCTTCTGTGGGGGATCACCAAAGTTACTCCAGAAAGTCAGTCTTACTGTAAAGCAGGGGCATCTGGCCCTGAGGTGGGGAAGTCCAGGGGCTATTGTGATGAGTGGGTACTGTGCAGCAGGCATAAGTGTACAGAGTGAGCTGCTCCTTGTCAGGCCCTGCCCAAAGCAGTGTACCATGGTGACACAGCAAGCAGACCTGCCAACAATCACGTGGCAAGCACCCACCTCAGCCAGGCCAGAACTCCAGTCAGGGTCTTCAGCATCTTGGTCCTGTCCTTGTGACGGTTGTGAGGCAAATGGGGGAAGCTTCAGACTGTCTCTTACACATTTGAAGTCTAATTCTGTAAAGGCTGTTACTTTGTCAAATTATCAGCTCTCCTTTTGTGTCTCTGACATCTGGTGGCTTCAAGTATTTCCTTTTTTTCCCCCAGAAGAAAATAGTGGAAAATAGTGTGGTTTCTGAGCAGGGCACTGTCCTGTGCAGGAGCTGGAAGTGCCATATGACAGCATGGTTGAGGAGGATTGCTATGTCCTCACTGGCAGCAAAACCTGTGCAGAATTCTGCTTTTCAGCAGACTGCCCTATCTAATGTTCCAAGTGGAACTCCAGCAAATTGTAAGATAAGTGCATGTGTGTGAAATGATCACTGTATTTCTCTAATATAGGTATCCCTTTAGTTGAGCTCGTAACTATTCCCAGAGCTTTCAGCAAAACAGAGGAAACTTTTCCTTAAAGATGTAATAGGAAGTATGGGAAGTGATAGCTTGGGGGAAAAAACCTTCAATCCCTAATTTAATTTACTCTGCCTCTTTCACCTCCCTGACAGAATCTACTGTTTTGTGATAGCAGCGAATGTTGCCTTGGAGCCAGTAGCATGTTTGTTTCACCATGCAATTTTTTTTACTCCAGTACTTTCAGGTGTGCTCTGAAATCTGCTTCCCTTCCCCTCTTTGCTGTGTGTGATGTAAAAGCAAGCTGTCAAATAGGTAAAAAATAATAGTGAGTGAAGCACCCTGATTTGTTGGAGTAATGATCCAACTTTGTATTACAGGTACGAGAACCAAGTGAGATCATTGTTAAAGATCTCTCTCAACATGGTGAGTATTCCATAAATTGGCTGTACTTGGAATTTGGTTTTATTTCCTGTTGACTTTAGTCTATTTACAGAGTAGTATAAAGAGGCTAATGAATATTGCTTAGAGCTATAAGGCTTCCATTTATTGTAAAATATGCTGAAACGGGTTTATTGCTGCATTTGTAATCCCTGTGGTGAGCTGCTCTACTTTGGAGCATGACTTTTCTGCATGGGAGTATAGCGCAGTCATGATTTTAAGAATGGTACCAACTTTTGAAAAATGTTTTAAAATAAGTATGCATTGCAGCAGTGTACTCTGCTTTACTGAGTGAGGTGTAGGTCAGAGTGAGAGGTCTCTCAGTCAAATGTCCTGTCACGTGGAAGAGCGCATCAAACCTCCATACACCCTCCTGTAGGCAGAAAATTGTTGTGCTGGATGTCCAAGTGATGGGTTTTGCTCCTGGTGGTCTTGGTGTGGCAAACCTGTGCCAGCAGCATGGTGGAGTAGTTAAAACTTCCTCTTCAGTAGCCCTGCCAAGGGAACATGCCAGCCAGTGAAGCCTTCCTCAAAACCAGACAGTGGATGGTGTCCTGCCTTAGGAGACCACTACTGAGAATGCACCAATACCTTTAGCTACTTTCAAGACCACTTAGTAGAAAACTTATTTGTCCTGCTGCTTCTTAGGTGCCAAACCCTGCCTTGCTGCTGCTATTTGGTCTGTGCAGATATTGGCTGAAAATTAAGGGGAAAATATGTGTGTGAGCTATGGGAAAAAGCCCTGTGTTTTAAAGTCCAAGTAGATGTGTCTTGTGTGTTTCTTCTTGCAGAACTGAGAGAGACCTTTGATGTCTTTACAAAGGAAGTACCACCAGAACAGTGGGAGCAGCTTATGAGAACTCTTCTACAGGAAAATGATATTGATAAAATTATTTCTAAATTTCCTAATAATAGAGATGAACAATCATATCAGATGCTTCTCATCTGGAAAAAGAGACTGGGAAAGAAACAATGTATTAATAATTTACTGGATGCATTGAAGCACATAGATACCAAGGCTTATTACAGCGTATTAAACACTTTAAAAAGTAATAACATTATAAGTAAAGTAGAAGCTGAAGATTAATGTTTATGAGGAACTGCAAAAATATTCCTGTGTACATATGTGTGTCTTCAGATTTGCTTAAATGAGGGTGTCAGGAACTGCTGGTAGAAATGGAGTTAGCCTCCTCAGCTCATGGGCACAGCCGGAAGGGATGTAATGCCTTTGTTATTTTCATGTTTACATGACCTTCCTACCTCTGAGTCATAAAATATTGAACACAGGTGCTGAATGCCCACTTCGGAGCCGGAAGTTGGGACATGCCTTAGTTTGTGGCAATGCGGTCCCAAGCTGGGGGGCGCAGTCCGCTGCTGTTTTTGAGTACTGTGATGCTTTAGTTTCCGAAACCATTTTGTGTTGTTCTGGAGTGCTCAGCACCGCTATGTTTGAAGCACATCAATAAAACCCTGGCTCAGACACAAGCTGGCTCTGGGACTTTGTTCTGGCGGCGGCGCCTCCATCCTTGGGGCTATTTAAGGAAAGGCGGGCGGCGGCGCTCGGAGCGGGGGCTCGGTTGGCACGGTGCTCTGGGCGGTCATTTCCCGGCCGGGCCGGGCCGTGCGGGGCAGTGCCATGTGGGGCCGGGCTGGGCCGTGCCGTGCCGTGTGGGGCCGTGCCGTGCCGTGTGGGTCCGGGCTGTGCAGGGCCATGCCGTGCCGTGTGGGGCCGGGCCGTGCCGTGCCGTGCCGGGCCATGCCGCGCCGTGTGGGTCCGGGCCGGGCCGTGCCGTGCCGTGTGGGTCCGGGCCGTGCCGTGCCGTGTGGGGCCGTGCCGTGCCGTGTGGGGCCGCGCGGCGCTGCCCGTTGCCCGGGTGACGCAGGGCTGCC